TTTTTGAAGATAACATGTGTATTGTTTTAGTTTCGGTTTTCATTACATTTGTTAATCCACATATTTTTTTTTCTTTGTTATTCTTTCAAAAATCACAAGGTCCACACCTTGTTTAGAAAAGGTGAGTTTTGCTGGTTTGACATTCTTTGAACAATTAGCATTGTTATAATCCTATCTACTAGTGTTGATTAGCTATATATCAACTAATTTTTTGTGTGTTTTAACTTAATGTGGATCTAACCTTTTGGTATGAACATTTGGAAGGTGATGCTTTGTCTCTGTTAATATTACATTCTCATCTGGTTCACTTCCTCCAGAAGACCTGGGGTCAAATAGGTCTTCAGTAACCCATGTTTGCCGTAAGTGGCGACCATGCTTGTCGTGAAAGGCGACTAACGGGATCGGGTGGTCAGGTGGACATGGTTGATGCATGTCATCATATCCTAATTGTGTGGATTGATGTTCATGATGTCAATCACTGGATTGTCTGGTTCAGACTTGATTATTTACAGACCGCCGTCATATAGCTGGAATATTGCTGAGTACGGCATTAAACAACAAACAAACCCTTCCTCCATCTGTAAGTGTGGTGCTACATTAACCGCTGTTTCACTAACAGTACATTCTGTCATCTGTTGTTTTGTTAACATATGGGTATATGCTAGATATTATCACAAATTGGGGTCTATGAAATTGAGTGTTTTCCTCTAAGTTGGAATTGTTGATGTCACAGCCTCATATGGTAAAAACAGGGGCTCTAAACACCAAAGAATCGTTTCAAATCACCATGTGTAACGGTAGATGGTGACGACTGTGATATTGCAGGAATTTTGAAAGCAGCTTTAAATAACATGGTGAGGTGAGGTGAAATGGGCTTTAAGTAGTGTTCATGGCTATTGCACTAACACAGCCACGTGCATGTGTGGCTGTTTGTTCTAGTCTAAACTTCTGCTACCTATCATGGATAACCCACTTAGACCATTCCTTGTTTAATTATAATCATGGAGGTGGTTAGTTTTAAATGAAACTTGCTTACTCTAAGCCTAAAGTCAGACTGGCATTTGTTGTTTTTTATTGTCATTGTTAATTGATGCTTATGGTTCAAATACCCGTTAGTGTCTGTCGTGCCATTGCCACTTGAGATGTATACAGAATCTGACTAAGGTGGATTTTACCAAAATGTATGTCAGTCATCTTACTACCATGCATTTTCCCTAGGCAAGTGAGTTAACTGACTATAAAAGTCCAGTTTCCACCCTTGCCGAACTAGGCTGGTATTATGGAGTTACATTTTGTCTGGACTAACGAGTCTATGCATAGTCCAATCAAAATCGCACACCGAAATCAAAATCCGGTTCATAAACTGTCGTGCAGATTTTGATCGATTGCAGGATTTGCAAAGCATGTGCACCGCCAACTCGTTGTCAGCAGATATTTTCCAAATCTTTTCTTGTTTTTAATCAAGGTGCTCACGTGATTTGATGCATTTCGCGATGTAAGACCCGTTTTATCACAATATAGATCTTGATTATCGATCAGATCGTCCTGACTGAGTGCCACCATTTTTTGTGAAGCAAACGCAAGTGATACGAGAGGTGGAATCTGATTGGTCCATAGGAGAGGCTTAGAAGGGAGATAATTGGTAAAAGCCACTGGTCGAGCCCAGTAATTCCAGCCTAGTTCGGCAAGGGTGGAAACTGGACATTTAAAGTCAGTTAACTCCCTTGCCTGAGGAAGATGACTCCCATGGTATCCTCTGTTAATGGGTTTAGTAGACAGACAGGGTCACCTGCAGACAAGGTCACCTGCTGATCATGACCTTTTACCCACACAGGGGATTATCATCATTGAGGTAGCAACAATTTCAGAGCGAACCCAGCTAAGTTATAGAGCTAAATTTGAATATGTTTTTCATGTACTTGTTAAATGTGATATCATATTCATATTGCTCAAATTCATGATGTAGACAAAATTAAGGGTGTGCGGTAATATCGGTAAATTGATGTAAGATTTTTCCACGATAACTATCACAATATCATTTTTCCATGCTTGATTTTTTGAGTGATTTAAAATAGCGATTTTTATTATGTGTTCAATGTAATATACTTGCCAAACATCTTCGCTGTCCCCGGCATGCATTTGGGGCCCCAAGATAGCTGAGTATATTTTGACTAAACATAATGTTGTACCAGCATCTTGTTTGTTTCCATTTTTGAACTTAAATTTATAAATTAATGTATCAGATTGCTTCTGAATTACAAATTTAGAAATGTACAATATATCGCGATAAGTATCGCAATACGGCCTTGTGGATCGCAAAATATTGTGATACACTGTAAACCTCCAATACCATCTCTAGACAAAAGAAGATGCTGATGTTTCACTCGAGTAAAGTAACATCTCATTCCTCAAAGCTAGTATGGTGTTCAGAGTGAGTTTGGTGAGGAAATATGTAATAGAACTGGTTCACCTTTTCTTGTCAAATAACACGTCCATTGAATCTTGGGACCTGAAATGTTCCCATTTTCTCTATGGCCGTGCCTGAAAACACCACCATGTTCAGACAATAGATAAGACAATCAGGACAATACAAGTCCTTATCTAAATCTATGAGGGGGCACGGGTGGCCCAGTTGTCTAAGGCGCCGCAATTCGCTGTGCAGAGTTGCGTCCCTTGGGCACGCCAGAAACCTATGATTGTTGGTTCGAATCCCGGTTCACCCTTATTATGTTTCTAGGTTTGTCAGCACCATACCCGTACTCGTGGGTTTCACCGAAGTGGTAAACGTCTGAGACCTGCATCACTTCGGGCTTTCCTCCCACATTAAGCTGACACGCCGCGATATAACTGGAATACTGTTAAAAGCGGCTTTAAACCCACTCACTCACTCACTCACTCACTCACTCACTCTAAATCTATGCTATAAATAAAGATAGAATTAAAACTCTATTGCCTCACATGGTCAGCGCTTAATGAGTTGTTTGTGATTTGATCAGTCAGTCAGTTAACTAGCTATATTTCATGCTAAAGTGATTACTGTTATTACAAAAGCTGTGGCAGCCTTAAACCTTTATATAGATACAAGGGCATAATCTGATAACACTAACATCCACCAAGTCTCTATATGTATATATATATATATGTATATATGTGTGTGTGTGTATGACAATATATACTTACTCCAGACACATATCAGTGATGCTTTTAGTATGTGATATACTTGTAACAATGATGTGTACATCATGTGTATACTACAGAAATGATGAATAAAATTTAAAATATATAACAGATGTGTCCTGTGTGGTTCACTGTCATATTAGGCCAGACTTGTTTTTTAAAATTGGTTTACAGATTTTTGGCCCCCCAAATGCACAGTGCTGGTTTGAGAAAATATGCATATAAATTCCAATTTCAATTATTGTTTTTGATTTCCTCAAAATGTTAAGTAGGGTGGGGAAAAGTTTAGAGTGTTATTGATTTGGATCTGTCGAGATTCGTCAAAATTGAATGGGTTTTTTTAAGTTTTTAAGATAAATTTGCAATAGATTTATTCTTAGTATTTCAAATCATTTATTTAAATTAATAGTGGCAGTAATTGTGTTGTTTATTAAGTTTTACTTATTTCTGGTCATGGAATAAAACATACACATTTCAAATTTTTTTAGTCTGTGGAATCGTAAACCAAGTTTTCTAAAAAGAAAGCCTGACCTTGTTATGTTAGTACTCAGGTTCATGTGTGAATCTTGAGACATTGTATGTCTGATAGTCAGCATTCACTGTCAGTTGGCCCAGACAAGATTGGAAATGCTGACTCATCAGGTTTAGAGGGAGATAACTCTGCGTTATTCCTTTTGTTTCCCGGACAAAACCAGGGTAACTTTGTCTTGATGAGTTGTGGCGTTGGTCAGCTCACTGTGTATATATGGACTGTATATATGTTGGAGCTATGTGTCTCTTCTTCATGATAGCCTCAGGTGTGGCTAAGACCGCTCTCCAGATTTGATTGGACATCATAGTTTAAAAACGATAGGATATTATTCAAACATGAAAGTGTTATATACCACATATTATTAGCTGACACTTTGTGTGTGATCATTTTTGATTGTCCGTTTTATTAGTTTTATTTAGTGTCATTGATTTTTCAGTGATCCATTCATAAAGTTTCCCCAACAATTTTGCCTTTTATGCAAAACGGAATCTGTTTCGGCAGATAATAGCGATATTCACTGGCATTGACATTTCATATTTACATGTATGAAACAAGGTCTTTGGTGAATGTTAATGAAACTTGTATACATTGTAAATTAGGCACCCTCTTCAGTTAAAGAAACAGCTTATGAACACCTACATCAGTTCATGTCCTGAAACCAACAAAGTGTTTATCTAATTACAAGTATGATGGTAACACTCACAATGGCCAGTCAGCGAGAAGCTATCATCCCAGTGGGGATTTCAGGTTAATGTAGAACCCCAGTAGCCTATGTTTGTCAAAACAAGTGAATAATTGGACTTGGGTTTTCCAGTGCAGTGACTTAGATGATTACATGTCATTGTTCACTGACAGCGTGGACCATTGATCATGTCAACTTGGTCCAGACTTATAGACTTATCTGTTTATAGACCATTGTCATAGTTAGAATATAAATGAGTGCGAAATTAACAACAAACAAACAGAACATCAAATATTAACTTTTGGATTTGATGGCCCTGAAATGTTTCTCACCACATGCAGTTTTTTTCTGAAGACAAATGTGATGAGATATCCTGATCAGAATATAGCACATTTAGTTGTACCTCTTTGTCCCAGTAACTTAATTGATTAGCCCCAGTGGTGATAAAGTGTAACCTTTTGCCATGTCCGAAGATTTGCAACAAGACAAGAAGTGTCCATCCAGTTAGTCCTCCTAAACCTCTGCTGGCTGTTCTCTGTACCCAAAGATGAGGAAAGTCAGTGATACATGACATAGATGTTAAGGTTGTTTTTTGTTTTCTGTTTTCAGAATCTGGAGAGGACACGTTCTACAGATGAAGCTCTGGAGACTGTGCCCTCCCACTTCTAATGGCAGCTAGCTGAAGATGAATGATTGTCAGGATGTGCATGTATTAGATGTGTGTGGTGCAGCAACAGCAGGGCCTAGAGGAGGTCATGTAGCTTGGTAACAGTAGGGTCTGCAGGATGTGCCATAGCAGAGTAACAGCGTGGTCTAGAGAAGGTCATTTAGCACAGCAATATCAGGGCCTAGAGGAGGTCATGTAGCTTGGTAACAGTAGGGTCTGGAGGATGTCCCACAGCAGAGTAACAGCGTGGTCTAGAGAAGGTCATTTAGCACAGCAATATCAGGGCCTAGAGGAGGTCATGTAGCTTGGTAACAGTAGGGTCTGGAGGATGTCCCACAGCAGAGTAACAGCGTGGTCTAGAGAAGGTAATTTAGCACAGCAATATCAGGGCCTAGAGGAGGTCATGTAGCTTGGTAACAGTAGGGTCTGGAGGATGTCCCACAGCAGAGTAACAGCATGGTCTAGAGAAGGTCATTAGCACAGCAACAGCAGGTCCTAGAGGAGTTCATGTAGCTTGGTAACAGTAGGGCCTGGAGGATGTCCCACAGCAGAGTAACAGCATGGTCTAGAGAAGGTCATTTAGCACAGCAACAGCAGGGCCTAGAGGAGGTCATGTAGTAAAGCAACAGCATGGACTATAGGTCACGTAGCCAAGCAACAACACCGACTAGAGGTCATGTACCATAGCAACAGCAGTGTCTGGAGAGACTTGTTTGAGGATAGATCATCTTTGAAATAGCATAGACACAGTATAACTTTGTTAAAACTTGACATCTGACTTCTCAACATGGAATTTCTTTTGGACAAAGAAACGCCTGAAAGCTGTTACAAAGTTTTGTCAAATTGAAATGATATCTGTTTTCCAGTCAGTATGGTGATAGGTATTCAACAGTAACACATTGATTGCTTGTCTAGATGAAAAGAGTTACGCATAATATGTGATGCAGATATGTAATAAAGAAATGTATAATTTTATGTGCATCCGGACCTCATCACAATGGCATTATCGTCATATAATTAATAAGCAAATGTCTTAACCAGTCTTGTTGGATATAGCATTTGTGACATGTACAATAGTTTGGCATACAATAGGTAATAGGTAAAAGATTTGTTATTTTATGTTACGTTAATAGGATTAAAGCATTTTTCTCTGATGTTTATTGAGCTAATCATGTTTAAGATGTTGAGATAAGTAGTTTTTGTGATTTGTGTTTGGCAAGTTATTCCAAATGAAATTTGCTCAATATTGTCTTTTCTTGAAAAAGTTGCCTTGTCTGAATTTGTTTGTAAGAGGTTTAATTCATTTCATCAGTGATGTTTTACAAATGTTGTGTTCAGTTTGAAATTTGAACAAAAGTACTTATCATGATACAGTGTTTAGAATTAGTTGTTGCACAACTTCTCATGTCACTGGAGCGTATGCTTCCCGGTCATGTCGGCTGCTTCTGCTGCAACTTGCTGTACCAGTGTGTATGTAATCGAAGAGTGATTGATCAAATCCTGTTTGTTAAACACTATATATTTTGATGACAATTTTACCCAGGTGTGATGTCTGCCAGGTTTTTGTATATACAATATGGCAGTATAACCAGATCCCAGAGAATATGTCAAAACGGGCATTGGTTGTGCTTGTTTACGGGTTTATGTGACTTGATGTGGTGTTCCAATTTTACATACTGTAATTGGCTATATTAGTGCTCCTTCACTAATACATGCTCCAGTTATTAGTATTTTTTTTGTACATGTGCCCTCTCACACCCATACATCCACGTGGAACTGTATTTGTTTCATCAGGAACATTTGATGATGTGAGCAGTATTATGAGGTAAAGCAAAATGGGAAAAATAAGAATGAAACATTTGTTCACTCAGGGATTTATCTAGGTTCTAAACTAAGTGCCATTTAAGGCAATTTGGCGAAAATGTTATTTTGTTCAAAATTGAGGCTTTTTTATAGTTCATACTTTTTTTAATTCAGAGTTACTAATTGTATTTTGAGATTGCATTTAATGGAATATTAAACTAAGCATCAATACCCTTTCCTCTTAGAGATCCTCTTATCAGTGAGGTGCAGGTTACCTGTTCAAAACCATCTAATTAGTTATTACATGAATTGAGAAATTTATTGTAACCATTTGGGAATTTTTAATGTCATCTGGTGCAGACCTGGGGCTGAAGCAAATGTGCTGCTGGCGACGCGGGGTCTCTGAGCAGGTCCAGATAAATATCTGTCACTGATCTGGAAGAAACTCAATAAACATGTATTGACTGTCATCTCATTAGGCACCCCCATGGTCACTTACCTTGTTAAATAACACCCTTTGTGTTGCGTATGTTGATTACAGAAATGTGTTCATATAATGACAGAGTAACTAAAGTCTCTGAAAAACCTGGATGTTCTTTAACTTCTTTTGATTTACATATAATGTTTGTATGTAATCAGAACTCATAATATTCCAAATAGTTCGTGACGTATGTTAATCACTGGATTTAGAATGTACCTGAAAAATCTTTCACTGACAGGGTATGACACAGTGCTTGTGTATGTAGTGTTGTACTCCGCTAGTCAGGGTTGTGTGTTGTCATCGGCTAGGCAGGGTTGTGCGTTGTAGAAAGGAAGGGTTTTTGAGAATCCAGTCCACCCAGCAAGTTGTTTCTGGAAGAAGTGCAGCGTGAATTGGTACTTGTCATGACTATATAGTCAATGGTGACATATTGACGGGCTCCTATTTCTTAACTACAGAAACAAATCTCAACCATCCCTAGACTCCCCTTTGTTTTGGAGACTGCAGAGCTTAATAGAGGTAAATCAACATACAGAGCGTTGTTTTTATTTTGTTGAGAAGATGAAACTATGTATTGCCAATTGATATACTGCTGAATATGACAACCTTTATGTCACTATGGAAACATAATTCATTCCACTAAATGAGCAGGAAACTTGAGCATATTTCCCATTGAACATTACAATGCTGTTCTTGTACTCTGACTTCGTCAGAAGAAAAGGCTGAACTATCAAATTTTGAAAACATTTTGGCACAGAAGAAATTAACATTGTTATGAAATTTTAAAGTTGTTTCAAATCTTGAAAGAAGCATGAGGAAGTTTGTTTTGCTCATCTTTATCTGTGTGAGGCCAATGGTTGTCTTCTGGGTCAGTCTGTCAACCTTCATCTTCTCCTCTCATTTAGTTGTGCAGCAATTTTGAAATCTCAAAGCACTGGTTTTAACAATCCCATCAAGAGCAATGTTTTTATTGACAGAAGTCCAATCAGATTTTAACCATATCACAGTCATTCATGTAGAGTAAAATCTTATATCTAGCAATTATCATGATTTTAACTTTTAAGTTTAAGAAGCTGAAATATCACCTCAACAACACATCATATATTGCTGACAGACCATAGATCCACCCTAAAGCTATCAAGAGTCATTTTTTAAGATTTAAGTTTGACCTGTTACGCACACTTTCATTTATGGATCTCCATGTATATTTGATACCCTGCTACTGAGTTACTTAACTGATTCATTCCATATACAAATAGTTGGATAGGACACAATATATTTTAACTTGTTGAAGTATTTATTTCAAGTTACTTATAGTTTAATTTATGAATTTTGCTATGAAATAAGGTACTGAGGTTTTGATACTTTGACGCATATTCTGCTGACATGAAATTTCCCAAGATCGGATATATTGGGTTTTTTCTAACCTTTGTTTCTGTAAACCTTGAATCATGTTTTGTTTGCTTCATCACCTTAAGATGACAGCATCAGTTGAGGCACAGTGAGTAAGATGTACTTCTGTGTGGTATTAGATGAGGCGTCAACAAAAGATTTCACATCTTGGATGGATTGAGGCTTCATCCATGAATATATCATAATTGACTGCATTCTGAAGATTATTTTATATTTGTAAATGGTTCATCATATCAGTCTGTGCAGTATCATTCTGTGGGATAAAGATGGTATTTATTGATGAATGAATTGATTTGCACATCTCAGTTTACTGAGGTAAAATGTACAGTTGGTGGACTATAGTGTGCGTGACAGCAAGGGTGATTAAGGATGTGTCGGAGAACAGAATGGGTTGTGTGTTGAATACAGAATGAATGGATCTGAGAACAGAATGGGTTGTGTGTTGAATACAGTATGGATCTGAGAACAGAATGGGTTGTGTGTTGAATACAGAATGAATGGATCTGAGAACAGAATGGGTTGTGTGTTGAATACAGTATGGATCTGAGAACAGAATGGGTTGTGTGTTGAATACAGAATGAATGGATCTGAGAATGGGTTGTGTGTTGAATACAGAATGAATGGATCTGAGAATGGGTTGTGTGTTGAATACAGAATGAATGGATCTGAGAACAGAATGGGTTGTGTGTTGAATACAGTATGGATCTGAGAACAGAATGGGTTGTGTGTTGAATACAGAATGAATGGATCTGAGAATGGGTTGTGTGTTGAATACAGAATGAATGGATCTGAGAATGGGTTGTGTGTTGAATACAGAATGAATGGATCTGAGAATGGGTTGTGTGTTGAATACAGAATGAATGGATCTGAGAACAGAATGGGTTGTGTGTTGAATACAGAATGAATGGGTTGTGTGTTGATGGGTTGGGGTGATAAGAATACAGTAAACTACGGTTATAACGAACACACTTATAATGAACTGACGGATATAACAAACGGGAGTTTATTCCCCCGTCCATTTGCTGTATATACGATGTGTATATGATTATAACGAACTATGGTTATAACAAACTGAAATTTGTGGTCCCTTTGACTTCGTTATAACCGTAGTTTACTGTACATGTATCTGAGATATCTGAGAACAGAATGAATATGTCTGAAAAATGGAATGGACTATACGAGAACAGAATAAGTTGTGTCTGACAACAGAAAGTCTTTTGTGATTCTTGTGTGAGGAAGGTTGCTGACCATGTGCACGGATTTGTGCTTGAAATGAGTGCAGTGTCCTCAGAGTGTGTGTGATTCTACAAAGTCTGAATTATTATTATTCTTTCATTTCAGGATACCTACTGGGAGGTATATTGAAAATTAATTATTCATTGAACTTGTGATGCTCTTTGTCAATTTTTATTTGAAAGTAAATAATAAATATTGTGGCTTTTTCCAGAATTAAAGTTATTTAAGTGAAAATCACCATGTTGAGTTATTTGTTATTAATGACCACTTACACTTTGACTAATCGCCAACCCCGGGTGTCATCAGTATTTGATAGTGATTCATAAAACATGCTTGTGCTGTCAAAATCATACAACAGATGCTGCTCTTAGCAGATATTTCTTATGGTTATGGGGGGGGTCGGGTAGCCTAGTGGTTAAAGCGTTCGCTCGTCACACCGAAGACCCGGGTTCGATTCCCGACATGGGTACAATGTGTGAAGCCCATTTCTGGTGTCCCCTGCCGTGATATTGCTGGAATATTGCTAAAAGCGGCGTAAAACCATATTCACTCACTCACTCACTTATGGTTATGGAAATGTTTTCGTTTATATCAATATACTATTCCTGTCTATTGACATCACATCCAATAAAATGACATCATTTAATAAAGTATGGTGTTAGACAATGATAACAGTAGCTGTCTTCGTGTATTTTGACCCCATGATCGGTGTGCAAAGACAAACTTCCTGTGAAAAATATCAACTTTCTACAAACGTTTCTAACATTCACTGACATCTTGCTTGGGTCAGTGGTATATCAGCAACAGTTCTGTGATAAGCTTCGATAGATAATTTGCTTTTAAGGATGTTGATATAGAAACAAAACAAATGATATTGACACATTATTTTTATCAATATTTTCTTACATGGTACATTTTGGCAAAGGTACGCCTTATCATCCAAGTGTGCCACATGGTACAACGTGTAGTGGTATAGACTATGACACGAGAGTGCCTTGTTCACTAATATGAGTTTGACGATTTATCATTTAGTCGCGTTCAACAAAGACATCAAATTGTTCACCGGAAATACAACAGTGTATTTACAAGAAGGTATACATGGCAGTAAGCACATATGACATAAAACGGTGTGATACCAAGACAGGGAATGTGATATCAAGACAGGGAATGTGGTATCATGACACAGGGAATGTGATATCAAGACACAGGGGATGTGATATGACACTGGGTGTTATACACATTGCTGGTTGATGGGGACAGGACATCTGCAATTTACAGGTAGGTGTAAGTGCCCCTGGTGACAGATTTAAGGGAGGCTACAAGAGGAACGGTAGCATTGAGGCCATTCCCTGATTACCACCCCATGATCCCCCTTGTGCCTGACCCCCGGAATTCATCTGGCTGGCCATCATGTAAGGGAGCATGGAGTTCATGTTCATCTCTCCACCAGACATCGCCATCATCATGAGTGGCATCATTTTGGATGCTCCTCCTCCTCCTTGGGACATGGCCATCATCATCAAGGGGTTCATGCCCTCTCCTCCCCCTCCTCCGTTCATTAACAGCAGCGGCATCATGTTCATCATATTGTTGTTGCCACCCCCTCCTTGCATCATAGACATCATCATCATCATCTTCCTTGTCTCTGGGGTGGCACCACGAAGTAAGAATGGAAGAAAGGAAGCAAACTGGTTCTGTTGGCTGCTGGACTTCTGTTGGCTGGCTGAACTCACTCCTGATCTGGGATACATTCTGGAGCCAGGCCCTGACATCATTCTTGAACCCATTCCTCCCATCGATGAACCCATTCCTCCCATCGATGATCCCATGCCTCCCATATGTGAACCCATTCCAGAATACCCTGAACCCATCCCGGACATTGGGCTTCCTCCCAAGCCTGAAAGCATAGCAGAGAGGGGTCCAGATGGCATGCCTGTGATTGGTTGCATCCCTGCTGGACGGGCACTGTAAGGGGAGGGCATAGCACTAGAGTAGGGGCCGGAGGAGGCCATGTTCATTCCACTGAACATTGGATTACTGTTCTGCATTGAAGTCCCATGATTGAGACCAGGATAGGCACTTCCAGTAGCTCTCATGTTAGCAATTCCAGGGTAAGGGTGACTACGTTGCTGACTTGAGAAGGGGCTAGTTGCTGAACTGTTCTGTGCACCTGACATGAGCATATTCTGTTGTGAAGAGTAAGGGTTTACTGGGGAACTGTTTTTTCCTGTCATGGGATTGGTTGCTGAACTGTTCTGTATGCCTGACATTGCATTATACATAGTGTTCATTATAGGTCCATTCTGTGTGCCAGACGTAGGGTTGGTTCCAAGACTGTTCTGGTGATGTGAGAATGGGTTAGTGGTTTGACCAATCTGTGAGCTCAGCATAAGGTGGTTCTGTGGACTTTGATTAGATGTGGGTTGGTTCTGTGTTGAAGAGTAAGTGTTAAGTGCAGGACCTGAGTATGGTCCGCTCTGTTGGGCTGCTTGGGGGTTAGAAGCAAAATTATTTAACTGGTTGAAGGAATTAGGCATAGGACTGCTTGGTGTTCCAGAATACGGGTTTGGCGGGGACCCGTTATGTTGAATGGGGTAGGTTCCAGAAGAAGAGCCTGTCTTTTGGCTGGAGTAGTAAGGAGTCATTAGATCATTTTGTCCTGAAAAGTATTGACTGGGAAGGGGGGCATTTGGACCTGCAGCTGGGTATGTAACGGGACGAGGGCCATTTGAGTTTGTAGAATATGAAAGGGGGAGGGGGTTGTTTGGACCTGCGGGGTAATGATTAACAGTGTTAGTACTAGAACCTGACGTAGAATATTGATCCGGATAGGAGCTGGGCATTCCAGGCGGAGGGGCGCCCATGTTGTTGATGACATCCAATGGACCACCTCCAGACAGAGGAGCCTGGGGATTGTAGGGCGCTCCAGACTGTGCGGCTTGAGGATCGTAGGGTGCTCCAGATAGTGCGGCTTGGGGATCGTAGGTTGCTCCAGACTGTGCGGCTTGGGGATCGTAGGGTGCTCCAGACTGTGCGGCTTGAGGATCGTAGGGTGCTCCAGATAGTGCGGCTTGGGGATCGTAGGTTGCTCCAGACTGTGCGGCTTGGGGATCGTAGGGTGCTCCAGACTGTGCGGCTTGGGGGTTATAGGGTGCTCCAGACTGTGCGGCTTGGGGATCGTAGGGTGCTCCAGACTGTGTGGCTTGGGGGTTAAAGGGCGCTCCAGACTGTGCGGCTTGGGGATCGTAGGGTGCTCCAGACTGTGCGGCTTGGGGGTTATAGGGTGCTCCAGACTGTGCGGCTTGGGGGTTATAGGGTGCTCCAGATAGTGCGGCTTGGGGATCGTAGGGTGCTCCAGACTGTGCGGCTTGGGGGTTATATGGTGCTCCAAACTGTGCGGCTTGGGGATCGTAGGGTAATCCAGACTGTGCGGCTTGGGGGTTATATGGTGCTCCAGATAGTGCGGCTTGGGGATCGTAGGGTGCTCCAGACTGTGCGGCTTGGGGGTTATAGGGTGCTCCAGATAGTGCGGCTTGGGGATCGTAGGGCGCTCCAGACTGTGCAGCTTGGGGGTCATAGGGCGCTCCAGATAGTGCGGCTTGGGGATCGTAGGGCGCTCCAGATTGTGCGGCTTGGGCATCGTAGGGCACCCCAGACGGTGCATCTGGGTATGGTGAAGGGGGAGGCTGTTGACCTGCAGGGAAGAATATTGTGCATAAGAATATGACAGGGAGGTGATCACAATTGTCAATACTGATCCATGTTTAGAAATCCGGGCGGCGTTAGCGTCATAATCTTGGAGTAAAGCTTATGGTGACAATGGCACATTTTGAACTTGAAGAAGCATCATTGTGTCATGCGTGCGGTACACACTGTAAGTAGTAGTAACGAGACTACACCCGTGTCCTGATGATTTAGTGTGACATTAACATGACCGGGACACTACTCACCAGCAGTCAACGCCAGAACACAGACAAGTCCAACCAACGCCAACTTCATCTTCTCACCTGCTGAAACAAACATGACATCTTAAATATGTGTACATGTAGTGTGACATCGGTGAATCTGGTGCATGATATCACCTAATGCTTGATTGGGCGGAGCATCGCGTAACACATGGGCTAGGTGCAACCGCAAACACGTGATGTCAACACATACCCAAACACATTGGGTTGACACATCCCCAAACACCTGGCGTCAACACATCCCCAGACACATGGGGTCAACACATCCCCAAATACCTGGTATCGACACATCCCCAAACACCTGGTATCGACACATCCCCAAACACCTGGTATCGACACATCCCCAAACACCTGGTATCGACACATCCCCAAACACATGATGTCGACACATCCCAAAACACGTTGTCGGCACACCCCAGAAGGCCTTGGCTTGGTGTAACGCCTAATGGATTGGGCAAATAGGATTGGTGGCAGCTACAGGACAAATAAACCCGTCAGTGCATCTATTCTAAAGTTAGTCTTCACACGAATAAAAGACCTCGTCATCCGATTATTCGTCATACCGGGATCAACCTTAACACTGCCACTAGAGACTAACATGTAGTAGAAAGTCCGACAGGTATCTCTCGACAACAGAGTTTGTGCCTGGAGAGGCACTTCAAGTTACTAAATAAACCTTAAATCTTTTCTTCCTGAGAATTTGGACCTATGTTATCATATTAGGCATTTGAAACAAAGAACTATTTTCAATACAATACAGCCAACAGATGCAGAGCAGTTGACAATACATTAAAGTAACCAGATATGTCTAGCTATATTGACAAACCATTTCCCGAAGCAGCAATGCCACCAATGGGTGGAACTGTTTTGGAAACACATGATGTCTAATTTTAATCATACGGAACATTTTCAAAATATTGTTTCGAAAATTCTCATGACAACCAGCCATTTTTCTACCTTAGGCTCGAAAGTTATGTACATTTGATATGTTCAAGTACCTAAATGTTGCTGACAGAAAAAAGTGCCAGTTATTTGAACTTCAAGAGAAAACATATCCATGCCCGGAGAGGACTTAGTATTTTCATATGTCTGAACGATCTTCACCTTCATCTATTTAGCAAACCAGGTTGGATCAAGGACTTGCTCATACGCAAATAGTGAGGCAGGGGTAAGAATGGTTTTATGCAATCTAATTATAATCAGATCCTAGTACTCGCTACCGCTAAACAAAGATTTGAGAACATCCCATTACGGGTCATGTCAGAACGACCTTTCATCCTACCAATCAGAGTTTCGCTTACCACATCAGGAAAGTGACTTTGCATTATACTGTCATACAATCTAGGCCATCTAATAGACGTGCCAGAATGTTCTCTTGTTCAGTTTTCAAATTTTGAATCGAAAATTTGACATATTTTTCAAAACGTAGTCGCCAGTTTGAAACTAGTGCCGTATAGCTCGAGAAAGTTGCTTTCTGATTGCCTAAAGTCGACTTTTCACTTTAGCCATTTTATCGGTCAGTGTACGTTCTGACGTGATTTGTAATGGGATGTCCTCAGGTCTTTGTTTAGCGGTAGCCAAAACGTGTCTTCGCACATTATATCCATGTGGGGAATCGAACCCGGGCCTTCGGCTTGACGAGCGAACACTGTATGCACAGGGCTGCCCAACCGCCCCTATACCTATACTGTCACCTACAGTACAGTTCGCCTACAGCCACCTTGCCTACAGAAATGGTGATATGGTATTTCGCCTGCACTCATATAATAACATACCTTTGTTGGTAATGGATAGGGGCGGTCGGGTAGCCTAGTGGTTAAAGCGTTCGCTCGTCACGCCGAAGACCCGGGTTCAATTCCCGACATGGGTACAATGTGTGAAGCCCATTTCTGGTGTACCCCGCCGTGTTATTGCTGGAATATTGCTAAAAGCGGCGTAAAACCACACTCACTCACTGGTAATGGATCAGTCCAAAACACCAGCCTGGTCTAGAAATTGCGGTGTATACAGTGTGAGTAATATGCAATGCGATAGAAACTAAATCATGCACTATTTCCTTACTTAGCTGATCATAGCGAACTCTAGGATTAACATTAACACCAAACAGATTATTTGAGTAAACTGAGAGCCAAAAGAAACAATACCTCCCTGTTGATTTTATCATATGTTTGATTTTCAAATGAAAACATCTTAAGTTATCGATATTATATCCAAGAAATGATCTGTACTGGCGTTTAGCATTCAGAAGATACTTCTACTTGGTTTTATTTTTAAAAATATAATTTGACTTAAACCCTTGATAGAAAATCGCATAATACACAACTGTTCATTGGTATCTTAGACATCTTATCTTTGAAAATAAATCCATTTACATTTTTCGGGACAAAATTACCAAGCCACAGATGACATTTTGACATCACTAAAATGAGTACCGTCATGTTACTGGAACATTGCTGCGGCGATGAATTAAAATGAGGTGGTGAGGTAAAATAGGGTTTAACGTCGCGTCCAAGACTATTGCACTTATATAGCGACGTGCATGTACGTGTGTGTGTTTGTGTGGCTGCTTGTACTAGTCCGGACTGATGCCGATTTATAGGGCTAGCTCACTGAGATACCATGCAGCAGTTTAACATGAATACCCCACTCAGACACAGTATACTGACTCCGAGCCGACCAGTCCTTGTTTTAGCCCCTTAATGCCGAGCGCCAGACAGGGTAACAACAAGTACCATCTGTTAACGTCTTTTGGTATGACGCGGCCAGGGATCGAACCCCGGATCTTCCGCTTTCCGGGCGGACACTCTACCATTAGACCACGGAGGCGGTCTAAATTAAAATGAACGAGCCTAGACTATGGACTGTACGAGTCTACTCCGAAATAGAGAATGTCAATTCAACCTCAAATTATATAAGAATTGATTATGATATGTGAGATATATTCTGCCAATATGCAAGTTTATAGTATCTGCAGTTTATAATGAAATCCTATACTTCGACTAAAGTATTTTGGACTGCCGCCTTATTGACGGTCAGTGGTCTGTATGGACCCGAAAGGACGTGTCTATACGTAGTCAGAATCTATCAATACGACATTTGTCTTTCCGGACATTTCTATCTCCGGTAACCGTCCGGATTAACGGGTTTTAACTGTACAGGATCTTATTAGCATTTTATCGATTTAAACTTGTATACTATAAGTAACATTTCTCTACGTTCCAAGGCTCCTATTTCATCTGAAGATGTTAGTAATAACAAGAACAGAAGCATATTCTAGCTTCCTAAATTATTTAAGCAAGACTACGTTTCGCACATTTCTCTCTCACTGAATAACATGCAGTTACTAATCAAAGAAATATATCAAGAAAACATGGAATGCAAGACGACTCACCTGTGTGGGAAGAGTGACTGAGAAGTGACGACTTTTCCTACCACCTGTGTATATATACCCTGGTATGACGGCCAGGCCATCAATCACTGACCAGATGACCACATGAACCTAGTGTTTCAAGCGGCGGCGTTACGAGAGATATTGCTGTCGGAGTCTTTGTTTTCTGTCGGATGTTGCACAACGAGTCTGTTGTAGAAGCGACTGCCTTCACAGTGATGGATGGCAAAGGTAACATACTCGTTAACATCATCTCTTTCCTGGCAGCTGGCTTTGTGGGGGCCGCTGATCATTGGTCACGTACATGGTTAAGTCGCATGTCACAAGTTGTGACACGGCGTCAGTTCTTTCATGTTGAAATATGGGTCACTCGTGTCATTTGAAATTTATTATAGTGAAACCTTGATCATTCTGAATTCAGTCTTTCGGACAAAATCTGCTGGTAACAACTCAATAATCAACGGGGGTTACTTCCAGACAACGATGTTTACTGTGGAAACGCTTTAGTTATTGTGACTACATTAATAAAATGGGCGTGGTGTGATGCTGCCCAATCTTAGAGTGTGTTGTGGTTATCTTCCATTAGGATATAGAGAGCTTTCAAAAAAGCTACAAAACCCTTTCAGTGTGCAAAGAAATCGCAACTGAAGCTGAGTCTTTTGTTCGATTCCGACTATCATGAGCATGTATTTTGAACCACTAGAAAACAGTGATGATACCAGGTGTTTGCGAAATGGTGAGTGCATCCTGCCCTATCGTTGGCATCCGTCACAAACACAAGCAAAGGCAAGTCAATTGTTCAGTATAAAACAAAAACTACAGAGGAACATTTGTACAAGTCAATATAAGGAAATGTATCGGACATTATTTTTGTCAATCACGCGTCATATTTGAAAATGACCTCCACATTTAAACCATAAAACGTTTTGAAAGCATTCTTTCATGTCACAGGCTTTCTGCTACCCTGGGCAGAAGCCTGTGTTATGTAATAGGTACTTTTTTTTATAAAAAAAAACAAAAAACAAAAACAACATATTTATCACGGTATGATGTGTTGTTGTTTTTGTTTTGTTTAACGCCGCACTCAGCAATACTCCAGCTATATGACGGTAAATAATCGAGTCTGGACCAGACAATCCAGTGACTGACATCATGAGCATCAATCCACGCAATTGGGATACGATGACATGCATCAACCAAGTCAGCGAGCCTGAACACCCGATCTCGTTAGTCGCCTCTTACGACAAGCATAGTTGCCATGAGTTGCTGAAGACCTATTCCACCCCGGATCTTCACGGGTCCGGTATGATGTGTACAATGCCACCTGTCTCCCGTTGCTGTTTCTTTGTTTGTGGTAACGCCACACTTAGTGCTAGCAATATTTCAGCTATATGACGGCGGCTTGTATATAGTCGAAGCAGGACCAGATACACCACTGAGTGGAAGCATGAGAAAGGAGCCATGCTGTCCTGGGTGACAAACCAGGCAGCGACCTTGACCACTCGATCCATTAAGTCACCTCTCACGACAAACATCGGTTGCCGGGAACTTGTACCAACACTTGTATTTCTTGTATAATTGTTTGTTTGTTTAACGTCGCACCCAGCAACATTCCAGCTGTATGGCGGGGTCTGTAAATAATCGAGTCTGGACCAGACAATCCAGTGATCATCATGAGCATAGATCCACACAATTGGGATACAATGACATGCATTAACCAAGTCAGTGAGCCTGACCACAACAACTTATACAACTTGTACAACTTGTACAACTTGTACATTTTGTTTACTATATATAACTTGTAAAACATGTAGAACGTGTATCCCACCAAAGTTCACAACGTATAAACATCTATTGAAGTAACCTTCTGCCGGTAACACTGGTTTCAGAGTGATCAAACACAAACCATGGTCCCAAGTCAACTCGGAGCTGTTTCTCCGGACGACGACAATGGGCACATGTTGGGGATAGAGAAATTAGTTTTACTGTATTCGCAATCACTGAAACAATTTTGAAATGATATATTCTCACATGTCAGCTTACAGTACAACAGGATTTGCGTAAACAGCAAAGTTCGGCTTTTGATAATGATCATCTCTTCCTATGAAAAAGGACCTAATGTGAAGTGAGTGAGTGATTGGGCTGGGTTTAAGGCCACGACTGTGACGTCAGAAATATTTACTGGGACGTCGCCATCCATTTTTGGGTCAATAGAGCAAAGACGATGTATCAGGTCAATAGTGAGTGAGTTTGCCTTTACGCCGCCTTTTGGAATATTCCAGCAATATCACGGCGGGGGACACCAGAAATACCCATGTCGGGAATCGAACCCGGTCTTCGGCGTGATGATCGAACGCTTTAACCACTAGGCTACCCGACCGCCCCGTATCAGGTCAATAGTACGAATGGGCGTTTGTAAGTACTATTCCACATGTACTTCATTTATATATGCGTTTTTCTTGAATCAAATGCATAAAAAGAGAGTTCATGAACTCTCTAATCCAATGTTCAAATCAAATTTCGAAAGTGACTGCAAATACGCCCGTGACTGGGATTAAAGCTGCTTGAACAGTATTTCAGTTATATCACTGCCTGCTGGTTTCTTGAGGTCGCGGGGGGCACGGGTGGCCCAGTCGTCTAAGGCGCCGCGATTCGCTGTGCAGAGTTGCGTCCCTTGGGCACGCCAGAAACCTATGATTGTGGGTTCGAATCCCGGTTCGCCCCAATTATGTTTCTAGGTTTGTCAGCACCATACCCGTGCTCGTGACTTTCACCGAAGTGGTTAACGTCTGAGACCTGCATCTCTTCGGGCTTTCCTCCCACATTAAGCTGACACGCCGTGATATAACTGGAATACTGTTAAAAGCGGTGTTAAACCCAACTCACTCACTAAAGGTCGCGGGCAGGTGGTGCACAGAAGTACATGTGTCGCAGACCGAGGATCCTGGCAATAAGACCTGATGTCCAGAATGCCGTTGTACAAAGCTATCTTAGAGCTAAGGTGAGCTAACTCCCATACCTTAACATAGACCTACGATAGTTGAGGGCTGAGGTTGTTTTGTACAACGGCACCCACGTCTGACGCCATCTTCGCGGTTTAATAGTACAGTACGTAGAGGTCATGAGGTTACAATATAAGCAAACTGGACGGCATCAAAGCGTGTTGACCAGCCGTCTGGCGATATCCCGTCCGTCAGGGCATGTTGATGCGTTCACCCTATCTGTCACGCCGTGACTACGTCATCAGCGGCGTCAGTTCTACAAGTGACCAAACTACGGGTTTTTTTATCATTGAAGTTTTCTGTTGCAATTGTTGTAACATCGCACCACTGACACCCCTTGATGCGCTACGTTAAGTATACATATATGTTATATTTAGGTAATAATCAATATATCCCCGTGTTATGGGTTTTCGGACGCTTAAAAACATAGTTTTCTCACTAATCACAAGAGCAACTGTAAAACTTATCACTCACTTATAAAATACGACTTTATCTTAAAAAAAAGGACATCATAAGAGTATCTACAATGTCTGTGTGACGCCACACCCCTAGTTCTAGCGCGTGTAATCGCGATAAACATGGCCGTCCCAAAACCTATGATCCGACGATATATAAAAATTAAGCCTGGAGCTAAATATATAAAACATCATTATTTTTACAACTTGACGTCAGAAAATGTACGACCCTATTGTTTCTAAATAAACAGAATTGCAAAATTAAAAAATTTAAAACAAAAAACAACGTTTGGCTAAATTGGTATGAATTTGAAAGAAAGATTCTCACCTTTAAGCGAATGCCTGGTATTACCACTATGTTATATTGATTCATAAACACATTGTTATGATATAATCATAATCGTACAATGGATAGTGTTTTATGGAAAGGGTTTTTGTCGTTTTTATTCTATCACTTGACCTTTGTCTTTCAGCCTGGCATATTGTTATATGTATAATAGATTCAGAATATGCAATTAATCGTAATTGAACTTAGAAGTAGTAGTAGTAGTAGTAGTAGTAGTAGTAGTAGTAGTAGTAGTGGTGGTGGTGGTGGTGGTTATACTACTACTACTACTACTACTACTACTACTACTACTACTACTAAACTACTACTATATCTTCCCGAGGCAAAGGGAGTTAACTGACCATAAAAGTCCAGTTTCCACCCTTGCCGACCTAGGCTGGAATTCCTGGGCTCGATCGTAGCGCCACCAGTGGCTATTACGAATTATGTCACTTCTATGCCTCTCCTATGGACCAATCAGATTCCACCTCTCGTATCACTTGCCTTTACTTCAAACAAAATGGCGGCGCCAAGTCAAGACAATCTGATCGATAATCAATATCTATATTGTGATAAAACGGGTCTTACATCCCGAACTGAATCAAATCACGCGAGCACCTTGATTAAAAACATGAAAAGATTTTGAAAATATCTGTTGACAACGTGTTGGCGGTGCACTTGCTTTGTAAATCCCTCAATCAACCGAAATCTGCACGACGGTTTACGAACCGGATTTCGATTTCAATGCGCAGTTTTGATTGGACTATGCATAGACTCGTTAGTCCAGTCAAAATGTAACTCAGTAATACCAGCCTAGTTCGCCAAGGGTGAAAACTGGACTTTTATAGTCAGTTAACTCTCTTGCCTTGGGAAGAAGCTGCTGCTACTCCTACTACTACTACTACTACTACTACTACTACTACTACTACTACTACTACTACTACTACTACTACTACTAATAATAATAATAATAATAATACTACCGCTGATGTTGCTGCTGCTATTACTAAAATCTAAACATTTAAACGTGTTTAAATTCTAATCATGATACGAGTGTGGTGATGTAGTGGTTAGGTGGTGTTTAGGCTCATTTCGTGTGTTTAGGCCTTAAAAGTGTTCAGATAGAACACATCAAATGTGTATTCCGTACAGGATATCTAAACATGTCTTGTATGTGTTTACATTCTAAACACATTTTTACAATGTATAGACTAGAGCTTGGTTAAACCTGTGTATATGATACAGAACACTACTTGTGTATATGATACAGAACACTACTTGTGTATATGATACAGATCACTACTTGTGTATATGATATAGAATACTACCTGTGTGTATGATACAGAACATTACTTGTGTATATGATATAGAATACTACCTGTGTGTATGATACAGAACACTACTTGTGTATATGATACAGAACCCTACTTGTGTATATGATACAGAACACTACTTGTGTATATGATATAGAATACTACCTGTGTGTATGATACAGAACACTACCTGTGTATATGATACAGAACCCTACTTGTGTATATGATACAGAACACTACTTGTGTATATGATATAGAATACTACCTGTGTGTATGATACAGAACAATACTTGTGTATATGATATAGAATACTACCTGTGTGTAGAATACAGAACACTACTTGTTTATATGATATAGAATACTACCTGTGTGTATGATACAGAACACTACTTGTGTATATGATATAGAATACTAACTGTGTGTATGATACAGAACACTACTTGTGTATATGATATAGAATACTACCTGTGTGTATGATACAGAACACTACCTGCGTATATGATACAGAACACTACTTGTGTATATGATACAGATCACTACTTGTGTATATGATATAGAATACTACCTGTGTGTATGATACAGAACAATACTTGTGTATATGATATAGAATACTACCTGTGTGTATAATACAGAACACTACTTGTGTATATGATATAGAATACTACCTGTGTGTATGATACAGAACACTACTTGTGTATATGATATAGAATACTACCTGTGTGTATGATACAGAACACTACTTGTGTATATGATATAGAATACTACCTGTGTGTATAATACAGAACACTACCTGAGTATATGATACAGAACACTACTTGTGTATATGATACAGAACACTACTTGTGTATATGATATAGAATACTACCTGTGTGTATGATACAGAACACTACTTGTGTATATGATATAGAATACTACCTGTGTGTATGATACAGAACACTACTTGTGTATATGATATAGAATACTACCTGTGTGTATATGATATTGAACACTACTTGTGTATATGATATAGAATACTATCTGTGTGTATGATACAGAACACTACTTGTGTATATGATATAGAATACTACCTGTGTGTATGATACAGAACACTACTTGTGTATATGATATAGAATACTACCTATGTATATGATATTGATCACTACTTGTGTATATGATCTAGAATACTACCTGTGTGTATGATACAGAACACTACTTGTGTATATGATATAGAATACTACCTGTGTATATGATATAGAACACTACTTGTGTATATGATCTAGAATACTACCTGTGTGTATGATACAGAACACTACTTGTGTATATGATATAGAATACTACCTGTGTGTATGATACAGAACACTACCTGTGTATATGATACAGAGCACTACTTGTGTATATGATACAGATCACTACTTGTGTATATGATATAGAATACTACCTGTGTGTATGATACAGAACACTACTTGTGTATATGATATAGAATACTACCTGCGTATATGATATTGAACACTACTTGTGTATATGATATAGAATACTACCTGCGTATATGATACAGAACACTACCTGTGTATATGATTTAGAATACTACCTGCGTATATGATACAGAACACTACTTGTGTTTATGATATAGAATACTACCTGCGTATATGATATTGAACACTACTTGTGTATATGATATAGAATACTACCTGCGTATATGATATTGAACACTACTTGTGCATATGATATAAAATACTACCTGCGTATATGATACAGAACACTGCCTGTGTATATGATATAGAATACTACCTATGTATATGATATTAAACACTACTTGTGTATATGATATAGAATACCACTGTGTATATGATATAGAACAGTATCTGTGTATATGATATAGAACACTTACCTGTGTATATGATACAGAACACTACCTGCGTATATGATACAGAACACTACTTGTGTATATGATATAGAATACTACCTGTGTGTATGATACAGAACACCACCTGTGTATATGATAGTGAACACTACCGTGTATATGATATAGAACACTACCTGTGTATATGATATAGAACACTACCTGTGTATATGATCAATAAAACTACCTATGTATAAATACGATCCAGAACACTACCTGTGTATATATACATGTAGTATTGAACACTGCACTAAAATATGATTAGAGCGTTTCTTTGCTCCACAATCACTGACTGGTCCACTATCATCATCAGAGTGTCTGGTCTAGATTCGATTGTTCACAAGTCGCCGTCATATGACAGGAGTATTGCTGTGCGGTGTCAGGTAACAATCACTGACTGGTCCACTATCATCAGAGTGTCTGGTCTAGATTCGATTGTTCACAAGTCGCCGTCATATGACAGGAGTATTGCTGTGCGGTGTCAGGTAACAATCACTGACTGGTCCACTATCATCAGAGTGTCTGGTCTAGATTCGATTGTTCACAAGTCGCCGTCATATGACAGGAGTATTGCTGTGCGGTGTCAGGTAACAATCACTGACTGGTCCACTATCATCAGAGCGTCTGGTCTAGATTCGATTGTTCACAAGTCGCCGTCATATGACAGGAGTATTGCTGTGCGGTGTCAGGTAACAATCACTGACTGGCCCACTATCATCAGAGTGTCTGGTCTAGATTCGATTGTTCACAAGACGCCGTCATATGACAGGAGTATTGCTGTGCGGTGTCAGGTAACAAATACTGACTTCTTGTGCAAATTGTGTGAGTGGCGGGTTCTGGCCGTAGAGCCGGACGTGCTTATTTTCTTCGTCAACTAGTAGTGTCAGCACTGATCCAATTATCTAATTTTCACCACTATTTAGCCTTTAAGGCCCAATAGAATATGTTTGGGTAGATAATCGACCTTTTTCTCTGGCGTTGATGATTTATATTTACATAGTCTTTTATTTTTTGTTTATGTTATTCAGTAACTGTCTTCAAAGAATGACATGAAAACCCAGAAAACTTTATAAACTGCAGGATTTGGTGTAATATATATTTATTATCTTATTAACAAATATACAAACATTTATATATAACACTACACAGTAGCATGTTCATCTCTAACAACTCAAATTACTCACAGCAATATTGATAGATTTGGTATATTTGTATATAAACAAATATTGGCACACAGTGAAACGCTGAGCAATAGAGAAGAGTAAAAAAATAAACTGAAAGTCCAATCTTCATATGTGTAATCCATTCACGTGTTAACCGTTTACACAGCCTTGTTCATTCCCATCATCGGAACAGCTGACCTGTGACCTCCCCACGGGCCACCCTTGTTTTGACCTTGGCCTTGCATCTGCATCATCATGAAGGGGAGCATGGTGCTCATGTTCATCTCACCGCCGGACATCATCGCCATCATCAGCGGCATCATGTAGGATGATGATGACCCTCCTCCTTGGGTCAAGGCCATCAGCATCAGGGGGCTCATGCCCTCTCCTCCGCCCGTAGCCATCAGCAGAGGCATCAGGCTCATCATTGAGTTTTGCTTGGAGCCACTGGAGCCGCCCATACTGGACATCATGGACATCATCATGATCATCTTCTTTTTCTCGGGAGAGATGCCTCCGCGGAGCAGGAGGGGAAGCAGGGCAGTCATCGGGCTCTTGTTACCCTTTCCGGTGGCTGCACTCATAGATGGTCCCGCTGGATGACCAGAGAGGCCTTTACCGAATCCGGGCTTGCCGGCAATCTGTCCTCCTGTCATGGCGGCGATGGCGTCCAGGGGTCCAGACATGGCACCAGTGTTACCAGACATACCTCCTGCCATCATGGGACCCATTGGGTGGGACATAGCGGCCATTGGGTTGGGCATAGCGGCCATTGGGTTGGACATAGCGGCCATTGGGTTGGGCATAGCGGCCATTGGGTTGGGCATAGCGGCCATTGGGTTGGGCATAGCGGCCATTGGGTTGGGCATAGCGGCCATTGGGTTGGACATAGCGGCCATTGGGTTGGGCATAGCGGCCATTGGGTTGGGCATAGCGGGCATTTGGTTGGACATACCACCGGTCATGGAGCCAGACATACCGGCCATTGGGTTGGACATACCACCGGTCATGGAGTTGGACATAGCGGCCATTGGGTTGGGCATACCACCGGGCATTGAGTTTGACATAGCAGCCATTGGGTTGGACATACCACCGGGCATGGAGTTGGACATACCACCGGGCATGGAGTTGGACATAGCGGCCATTGGGTTGGGCATACCACCGGTCATGGAGTTGTACATAGCAGCCATTGGGTTGGACATACCACCGGGCATGGAGTTGGACATACCACCGGGCATGGAGTTTGACATAGCAGCCATTGGGTTGGACATACCACCGGGCATGGAGTTGGACATACCACCGGGCATGGAGTTGTACATGGCGGCCATTGGGTTGGACATGCCGGACGTACTTCCACTCATATCGCTGGTGACAGCATTTCCCCCCATTCCGGATGTTGCGGGACCGGCTTGACCCCCCATTCCTCCATTGTTTGTCGCTGACAGTCCACCCATTGCTTTAATAGCGCTGGCCAGGGGACCAGATGCCATCGGGTCAGGCCCACTACCTCCCAGCGGACCTGTTGCCTGTCCACTCGGAGCATGACCTGGATCAGTGGGCATACTGGTACCAGCTCCTGGCGAACTCTGGCCTAAAATAAATCAAAATATTGTTTGGTTAATGAGTACTAATATGCATATATGGAAGCAAATGACACAGGTAAAGACCCGTTGTCCGGAAGCCGACTTCTAAATATTAAAGAGTCGCAGATCATAAATCTTACTTTTCTGATGCGGTAAATTGTGTTTCCTGAACATATCGACCTCATTTCACGATAAACGCATAATGTGAGACCCGTGAAGATCCAGGGTAGAATAGGTCTTCAGCAACCCATGCTTGCCGTAAAAGGCGACTATGCTTGTCCTATGAGGCGACTGACGGGATCGCTGACTTGGTTGATGCATGTCGTATCCCAATTGCGTGGATCTATGCTCATGATATCAATCACTGGTTTGTCTGGTCCAGACTCGATTATTTACAGGCCGCCCTCATATAGTGAGAATATTGCTGAGTACGGCGTTAAAGAAACAAATAAACAAACAAACGCATAATGGGAACTGCCGACTCAGCAATATTCAAGCTATCTGACGGCGGTCTGTAAATAATCTTACATGTGTGGTTATATGTGAACAAAACGGAAGTACAGAACTTATATCCCCTATATTCGTGATACTCTCTGACATCATGAAACAATTAAGTTGATATATTTTTAATTCCCAAAGAACCAACCAATGATCTATGGATCAGTGAAAGAAAAGCAATGTATATGGAATGTTGGTTGGTTGGTTTGCTGTTTAACGCCGCGCTCAGCAATATTCCAGCTACATGACGGCGGTCTGTAAATAATCGAGTCTGGACCAGACAAACCAGTGATTGATATCATGAGCATAGATCCACGCAATTGGGATACGACATGCATCAACCAAGTCAGCGAGCCTGACCACCTGATCCCGTTAGTCGCCTCTTACGACAAGCATAGTCACCATTTACGGCAAGCATGGGTTGCTGAAGCCTGTTCTGCCCCGGATCGTCACGGGTGGTATATGGAATGCGAATCATGAGCTGACTTACCCTTCGTGAGAACAAGAACCGCAGCGAGCACTCCAACACATAGAAACTTCATCGTTGTACCTGGTAGACCATAAACAGTACAACTGTAATAACTATCAACATTTGTAAATATTAAAGCACAACCTAAGACATGTTCTGAATCGTGACAATACATAACCGATTTAACAGACAGGATGTTCAACATATATGATTAAAAAGCAATGAGGGGGCACGGGTGGCCCAGTCGTCTAAGGCGCAGCGATTCGCTGTGCAGAGTTGCGTCCCTTGGGCACGCCGGAAACCTATGATTGTGGGTTCGAATCCCGTTTCGCCCCGATAATGTTTCTAGGTTTGTCAGCAACATCGTGGGTTTCACCGAAGTGGTAAACGTCTAAGACCTGCATCACTTCGGGCTTTCCTCCCACATTAAGCTGACACGCCGTGATATAACTGTAATACTGTTAAAAGCGGTGTTAAACCCAACTCACTCACTCACTCACTAAAAAACAATGAACGTTGACCAGAGTTCTAGACTGGCAAGAGCGGTGGGGTAGCCTAGTGGCAAAAGTATTCGATCGTCATGCCAAAGGGCTGGGTTCGATTTCCCATGGTCACAATGTATGAAGCCCATTTCTAGTGTTCCCCGCTGTGATATAGCTGGAATATTGCTAAAAGCGGCATAAAACCATACTCACTCACTCACCACTCTAGAATCGCACTCGGAAAAAAGAGTTGCATGAAGGAGTACACGAGTAGAACTGAACGTACCTGGTGTGATGTGAAGACATGAGGTTCCCCCTGCGTTATATACCCCCGAAAGTGAAGGGGGATCCTTTGTCCGGTCACGAGACGTCAGAAGTGATGGATGGTCGATCGCTGACCAGTGTCCGTGAATCAGGTATTAGCGCATCATGCAGTCTCGATCTTGTAAACGTGCATCGTTCACCAGCAGGATATGTCATGCAGGACAGACACTGCTTTGTGTGGTGGAGGATTGATGACTTTGTGATTGAAGCTAATTGAGATGTCACAAGTCCGATTTATTGCCTACAGCTTTAACATCGCAGTTGACGTATGTATTTCCAATCCATTAATCAACAATTTATTGACGCATCTACATCTCCAGATTATGTACGTGTACATGAACTATACGTTTATGTTTTATGTAATAATTCAACAGTATTAGCTTTTATACTGAGATAATAGTTTAATGCAGCGAAATGGTATCATTTTGCAGAATACCGTGGCAGAATATTGCATGGATATTTTTTATTCGTAACTAGACACATGAAATTTAGCTATAACATAAGTGCATCAGTGATTGTGAGTTACCCTACAGACGCACACGTGTTGGTCCTGCTCATGGTGTGAAATTTCATTGCGATTAAATGTTGCCTTCAGATGCATGAGGGAGTGAGTGAGTGAGTTTGATTTTACGCCGCTATTAGCAATATTCCAGCAATATCACGGAGAGGGACACCAGAAATGGACTTCACACATTGCACCCATGTCGGGAATCGAACCCGGGTCTTCGGCGTGACGAGCGAACGCTTTAACCACTAGGCTACCCGGCCGCCCCGCGTTCAGATGCAAAGCCACGCTATTGTAAATGAACACCTCAACGATAGCTACATTCAAATCATTACTAGTTTCCTTATTTTTTCTCTCGGTAGTATATCTTACTTTCCAAATGTTTTGGTACACATTTCAACTATTTTATTTCATTTGCTGGCATTATATGGGCGTTAGTCTTTGCCATTTAGTCATAGATCAATAACATTGATCCGTTCTCTCAAGGGAACAGTTCATCTTCTCAAATAAAGCTTGATAAAGATTTGATCAAGAAATAAATAAACAAATAGATTACCCTGACAAGAACTTTGCTAATCTGACACAGGTGAAATGGATAAATAGCATTATTGTTGCTAGCGACACAACGATCCTATAAATGTAATTATCTTACTTTGCAAATTCGTATTTTTTACATATAGATATTCAAAAAAGGTACCGAGCTTCCAGTTTAAAAAAAGATATTTACAAATATTACATGCTTACAAAATACACAGCTCTCATAAGTAATAGTATCGATAAATTCTACAATTTTTTGTCATCTTGTCATCTTTTGTTTCCCACACAATAATTCTGTTCTCAACTTTTGTTTACTGCCTATGTATTACATTGTATTACATTGTATAAAAAATAAAATTATTGTTGCTATAGGATAGAACACATCATAGCGTAGCCTGGGGAGTTTCTGTTCATCTAACCTTGACATGTTCATTACATGATAATACAATCTATATATGATACAAGGGAGCTTCTACGCAGCACATCCTATTCAGGTGTCGCCTTCTGAAGGTACCCCGGGGCGGTGAACGTCACGTGTCTGGCCGTGAGCAACATAGATGTGCCTGCAGCAGTCGGTGATGCAGCAGCCGGCGATGCAGCAGTTGGTGATGCTGTCCACATCCTCCCACGCCGCGCTGGGAGATGATAGGGAAACGCATGTTATATTACACGTCAACGTCGCCCTGTCTCACCAGTCAGTGGTTAAAGCGTTCACTCGTCACGCCTGGGTCTGGTTTAATTCCCAACATTGGCACAACGAGTGAAACCCAGGTTCGATTCTCAACATTGGCGCATTGTGTGGACCCCATGTCTGCTATATTGCTGGGATATTGGGGGTAGTGTTAAAATCAACATAAAAACAAACTCACTCACTCACTCTGTTAGACTTGCAGTCACCGAAATAAAATTGTGTAAGGTTTGATGAAACTCGTTCTAAGAAGAAGCCCTCGAGTACAGAACCCTCAAATATCTTAATTTCAGGGATTTTACAAAACTGCCTCATGTAGAGAAAATTCACATTGAAAGTTATCGCCGTGAAGATATGGATCAGAATTGGTCTCCAACAACCCGTGTTTGTCGTAAGTGGTGAAAAACGGGATCAGGTGGTCAGGCTCGCTGACTTGGTTGATGCATGTATCTTTAAGAGCGAATACAGTCACCCGAGTCTCCGTACAAGACAGAAAGTATATGCCAGCGGAGGCTACTGAAGGTTGTCCATATTAATGTGGACTAAATTGATATGCAGCCAAGCTACACTTGTGTAGGTTTATGCCCATGATGCCAATCACTGGATTGTTCAGACTCAATTATTTACAGACTGCTGTCGTATAGATATATTGCTGAGTGCGACTTTAAACAACAAACAAACAGTGTGTGCATGCCACCGTGCCTGGAGGAGAGAGATGACCGACGGTAATGTCAATGTTCTCATGTCTTCCCCTCACCCTTCCCTCCCTCGGCGGGCGGTCGGGTAGCCTAGTGGTTAAAGCGTTCGCTCGTCACGCCGAAGACCCGTGTTCAATTCCCGACATGGGTACAATGTGTGAAGCCCATTTCTGGTGTCCCCCGCCGTGATATCGCTGGAATATTGCTAAAAGCGGCGTAAAACCTTTGAACATGGGTGGTTAGTAAAACAATATATATACTCTAGATCTCTGTATGCATAGAAGGGTCTGTAAGAGACGCTAGACATATGTGCGTATGTGTATGAATAGGAGGGTCCGTTACATGAGACACTAGATCTCTGTATGCATAGGATCGTCTGTAACAGATACTAGATCTCTGAATGACTAGGAGGGTCTATAACAGACACTGGATCTCTGTATGACTAGGAGGGTCTGTAACAGATACTAGATCTCTGTATACATAGGGTCTGTAACAGACACTAAATCTATGCATGCATAGCATCGTATGTAACAGACACTAGATCTCTGTGTGACTGTGAGGGTCTGTAACAGACACTAGACCTCTGTATGCGTGTGTATGACTAGGAGGCTCTGTAACAGACACTAGACCTCTGTATGTGTGTGTATGACTAGGAGGCTCTGTAACAGGCGCTAGACCTCTGTATACATGTGTATGACTAGGAGGGTCTGTTAGAGACACTAGACCTCTGTATTCGTGTGTATGACTAGGAGTCTCTGTAAGAGACACTAGACCTCTGAATACATGTGTATGACTAGGAGGGTCTGTAAGAGACACTAGACCTCTGTATGCGTGTGTATGACTAGGAGGCTCTGTAACAGAAACTAGACCTCTGTATGGGTGTGTGACTAGGAGGCTCTGAACTAGACACTAGACCTATGTATGTGTGTGTATGACTAGGAGGGTCTGTAACAGGCGCTAGACCTCTGTATGCGTGTGTATGACTAGGAGGGTCTGTAACAGACACTAGACCTCTGTATATGTGTGTATGACTAGGAGTGTCTGTAACAGAAACTAGACCTCTGTATGTGTGTGTATGACTAGGAGGGTCTGTAACAGACACTAGATCTCTGTATATGTGTGTATGACTAGGAGTGTCTGTAACAGACACTAGACCTCTGTATATGTGTGTATGACTAGGAGGGTCTGTAACAGACACTAGACCTCTGTATATGTGTGTATGACTAGGAGGGTCTGTAACAGACACTAGACCTCTGTATGCATGTGTATGACTAGGAGGGTCTGTACGAGACACTAGACATCTGTATGCGTGTGTATGACTAGGAGGGTCTGTAACAGACACTAGACCTCTGTATACATGTGTATGACTAGGAGGGTCTGTAACAGGCGCTAGACCTCTGTATGCGTGTGTATGACTAGGAGGGTCTGTAACAGACACTAGACCTCTGTATGCGTGTGTATGACTAGGAGGCTCTGTAACAGGCACTAGACCTCTGTATGCGTTTGTATGACTAGGAGGGTCTGTAACAGACACTAGACCTCTGTATACATGTGTATGACTAGGAGGGTCTGTAACAGACACTAGACCTCTGTATGCGTGTGTATGACCTGGATGGTCTGTAACAGACACTAGACCTCTGTATGCATGTGTATGACTAGGAGGGTCTGTACGAGACACTAGATCTCTGTATGCATGTGTATGACTAGGAGGCTCTGTAACAGACACTAGACCTCTGTATGCGTGTGTATGACTAGGAGGGTCTGTAACAGACACTAGACCTCTGTATGTGTGTGTATGACTAGGAGGGTCTCTAACAGGCGCTAGACATCTGTATGCGTGTGTATGACTAGGAGGGTCTGTAACAGACACTAGACCTCTGTATGCGTGTGTATGACCTGGATGGTCTGTAACAGACACTAGACCTCTGTATGCATGTGTATGACTAGGAGGGTCTCTACGAGACACTAGATCTCTGTATGCATGTGTATGACTAGGTAGCTCTGTAACTGACACTAGACCTCTGTATGCGTGTGTATGACTAGGAGGGTCTGTAACAGACACTAGACCTATGTATGTGTGTGTATGAATAGGAGGCTCTGTAACAGGCGCTAGACATCTGTATGCGTTTGTATGACTAGGAGGGTCTGTAACAGACACTAGACCTCTGTATGCGTGTGCATGACCTGGATGGTCTGTAACAGACACTAGACCTCTGTATGCATGTGTATGACTAGGAGGGTCTGTACGAGACACTAGATCTCTGTATGCATGTGTATGACTAGGAGGGTCTGTAACAGACACTAGACCTCTGTATGCGTGTGTATGACTAGGAGGGTCTGTAACAGACACTAGACCTCTGTATGCATGTGTATGACTAGGAGGGTCTGTACGAGACACTAGATCTCTGTATGCATGTGTATGACTAGGAGGGTCTGTAACAGACACTAGACCTCTGTATTCGTGTGTATGACTAGGAGGCTCTGTA